GCGTGCGAGTGAGAGTGAGAGAGAAAGGAAGAGAGAGAAAGAGAGAGAGAGAGAGAGACTGGGAGAGAGAGACTGGGAGAGAGAGAGAGAGAGAGAGAGAGACAGAGAGAGAGAGAGAGAGAGAGTGAGAAAGCAAGGTAGAGAGAGAGAGAGAGAGAGAGAGAGAGAGAGAGAGTGAGACTCCTCTCTCCTCCTCCCTCCTGCTCCTCCCTCCATATTCCCCCTCCCACTTCTTCCCCTCCTCCCCCTTCTCATCCCTCCTCCCTCGTCCCTCCCTCCTCCTCCTCATCATCATCCTCAACATCATCAGCATCATCAACATCATCATCATCATCATCACCATCACCATCACCATCATCATCATCACCACCATCATCATCACCGTCATCAGTATCATCATCATCACCATCACCATCACCATCATCATCATCATCATCATCATCATCACCAATCATTAATCAACAGCCATCAATCATCATCACCACCATCATCAACACCAACATCATTACCATAACAATCACCACCACCATCACCATCATCGCCATAATCATCAACCATCAGTCATCAAACACGCATCATCAATCACCAACCATCAATCATCATCACCACCATCATCACCATCACCATCACCATCACCATCACCATCACCATCACCATCACCATCACCATCATAATCATCATCATCATCATCATCATCATCATCATCATCATCAGTATCGACATCACCGTCATCATCATCAACATGATCATCATTATCATCATCATCATCATCAGCAGCAGCATCATTATCATTATCTTCCCCTGTGAAGCTGCTGACGAGCACTGCCGACTCGAACTGCCCGTGCAGAGAATACATCCGATGAGAGGTCGGACCGTGAAGCAGCGAGCTCCGAAGGGAAGGCTGGTGTGACAGCCCCTCCTCAGATTCCTAGTTCAGGTCGCCCAACTTCGCACTCCGCACTGTGGGATTACCTTCGTGCTCTCAGGCCAACTGGTTGGGAAAGGCAATTTTGTGGATCGGGCCACGAATCGTGAAGCGCGATTATGTCCGCGCCCCTGAGGGTGACCCAGCAAACTAGGGGGATGTCGAGGGAGTGGGGGCTGATAGATATCTCGATCTCGGCCCTCGAAGGCCAAGATTTTCGGTGAAACTGTTTTTGCTCAATGAACGTTTGCAGCACTACTGTTTGTTTCTGACCCTTTCGGGGGCTCTGGAGGTCGCGGGTCTTCTCGGATTGTTTTTGGTCAGGGTCAAGGTCAGGGCATGATCTGGCCCTTTCTGGGCCTCTTCGGGGTCAGGGCAATCTTTGGTCTCCTAGGTCTCTCGGGGCCTCTGGGCAACCTCTCTGCCTCTCGGGAACTCCGGGTCAAGGTAATCTTTTGGCTGCTTCCGGGCCCCCGGGTCGGGATCCGGGGCGGAGCCGGACCCTACAAGCGGAGGCTGGCGGGGACGTCTCAGCTCCTCCTTCCGCGCTGGGACCCCCCCGCGTATCATTGAGGGTCTCTGCGTGTCAGCGTGGGGAGAATGGGAATAACGCCAAGCAGACAGGCCATTGAGCTCTACACCGCTGCAGTAATGGTTTGGCCAATTTATTTTGCCACGGCGAATGAAGGCGAGAGCGTCGCAAGACTTGCGATGGCCCCCTCCCCCCCTTAGACTGCTACACCAAGACAACAAAGCGCAGCGGTGGCGCAGCCGCGGCGGAAGAAACAAATCTTCCATTGAGATGAATGGGTAGTAATTGTTCATTTCAGGGGATTAATTCTTCCGCTTGTTTTTTGACGCATGGAAAATTCTTCCGCACCGGCGCGAGGAAAGTCCATTGAGAAAGGCAAATGGGCCTAAACTTTCGTCCCGCCGGAGTAGTCGTGAGAGGAGGGGCGTTCGGCAAGAGGTCGGGCTGCGTCTGGCGGCGAACCTCCGCAGGGGTCGACCGCTGACCCGATCTTCTTGCCAACCGGCCTTGCTGTGCCGAGGTACAGCCTGCCAGGACGAGGCCGAGGCGCTCACGCGAGAGCTGTCGTTTCGCGCTGCTGAGTCGGAGAATCTCGGCTCTGCCTTCACAGATCAGTGCCCTCAGAAAGCTGCGGCACCCAAGTCGTCCAACTCAGCGCTGCGTTATGCGAGAAGCGCGGCACCCGATCAGGGTGGCCGCCAGACCACACAAGAAGCCGGCTTGCCAGCGGGCGCCCCACGACTTTCACTTACAGTGGAGGCCAGTCCACAAGAAACCTTGCGCAAGAAACCCAAGCCTGAGACCCCAGGACGTCCATGGACTTTTGGCGCGGGAGCGACACGCTCTCCACAGCAGAACCATCGAGACCCAAGAAACCCAGGGCACCCTGGAGGCAAGCAGGGTGCTTCTTGGCATGGGTCTCCGCTGTACCCTTCCTTCGCGCCGGGGCCCATCGGCAGCCTGGGGCACCGGGGCCCGTCGGCAGTCTGGGGCGCCCTGCGGGACTGGGGACCGACCAGACAGCTGCCACCCTTGGCCTTCTTATAGCAGCATCTCATGCCGCGCTCACCTGCCAGAGGCCTCCTAGATCTACGGCCTCTTCGCCGACCCGCGCCCCTGAGGAGGAGGAGGAGGAGGGAGTGAAGGGGCCCAGGGACACACACAGATAAATAGACACAAAGAAAAGGATTCCCAATCTTTTCCCATATTTTCTGGGCTTTTGTCTTTCCCCCCCACTGCCCACATTTTCCCATATTTTCCTGGGAGTCGACGTGTTCTCCCTCCTGAAAGGGAGGAGGGGAGCGGGGGCGGAGAGGGGGTGGCGAGAGGGCCCAGACCGCCGATGTCGCCTTTTCTGTTCCGTCCGTGCCCCCCTCCCCCCGTTGGGGCCCTCGACCCCGTCTCCGGGGGCTCATTTTCGTCTCGGGTACGCGTCGTTCAGTTCCAATCGTGCTCGTTTCTAATCGTGCTCGTTTCTAATTGTTCCTGCCCCCCTGGTGGCCTGGAAGAGGCCCAGGATAGAACAATTAGAAATGAAAGGATCCTGGCCCCCCCAAAATCAAAGAACTTTCGAGTAGTTCGAAACGATCAATGTGTACCTCTGTTGATGCCCCCGGGCCCGGAACGGGCCTCCGGAGGCCGACATCCAGGATCAGCCGCGCGTCGTGTTTTGTTCGGTGGGGTCCGGGAGCTCGTCGTCGAGGTGAGGGGATGGAGAAGCGCGAGGGGCGCTTCTCCTCGCGCGCCCCTGCCGCTGACCCAACCCGAGGAAGCCTGGACCGGCTTGCCGAGGCATCGATCGTTTGTACGCCTGCCTCCTCGTCCTCGTTATCCTCCCTCTCCTCGTCCTCTATCGCTTCCTCCTCCTCGTCCTCCTCCTCGTCCTCCTCGTCCTCCTCCTCCTCCTCCTCCCCATCCCTCGTCCTCCATCTCCTCCAGCTTCCCCTCTTCCCTCCCTCCTCCTGCCCTCCGCAAAAGTCCCTCCAACTCCTCTCTACTTCCCCCCCCCTCCTCCTGAACCACCGAAGCACGGAAGGCAAGAACATTCGTCGAACTTTGACCGCCCCCCCTGAGGCCGGTCGGCCCTGGGGGGTTGATCAAACTAGGAGCCTGGCGACTCCGGGAGCATCGCATCCTGCAGCATTCGCTCAAGGAGTCGCCAGCTGGTTAGGTATTCTGTACAGCACGGTTAACGACAGCAGAAGGTAGGCAGAAGGGAGAAGAAGCACCGATCACAACCTCAAGAGGGGGGAGAGGGAGGGGTCTGTGGCAGCGGCGGCGGCAACCTTCCACCTTGCTGCTTCTCTTCCCCCTCCCCCTTCGAACTTTCGTCGACCTCCTCTTCCCTGCTCCTCCATTTCCTCTCGCTCGTCCTCCACCTCCTTCAGCTGCTCCTCCTCCCCTCCAAGAGCCCCTACACTTCCTGTGCCACCGCCACCTGCAACTGATTTCTCTCCTGATCAATGTCCTCTTCTGCCTCCCCCTCTTCGCTTTCATCGACCTCATCTACTCCGCATTCTGTCGAGTCCTTTCTTTACTCCGTTTTCCCCTCCTCCGATCCTGCCTCCCACTCGTCCTCATCCTCCTCATCCTACTCAGCCTCTCCCTATCCCTCCTCCCCCGCCTCCTCCTCCCGCTGCTCCTCCTATCAGGCCCGCAATGAAAAGCTATCCAAGGCCTGCGTTAGCAGATCTCGTTTGCCGTCCACACGGGCCAACGAGGAGGCCCAGATTTCTCGGGCTTTGCGTGGGCTCCATCCTCGGACCGGAGCAGTCTTAGCACCTCTTCCTGATTCCTCTTCCTCTCCTCTGGAGGCTGAGCCCTCTTTACAAGCCAAGGTGAAAAGGCTAGTTCGAGCTGCTGGAGGCAGCCCTGTCTCGTCTCGGGTGGCCGATGGGGGTGGAGTCGGGCTGGTTCAGCACCAGCGCTGGGCCGACATTGGGCCGCAGCTAGGTGGCCGGGGCTCGGGGGACAAATCCTGCCCCCCCTCCACATGCTTCATGCCTGGTCTCTGTCCAGGCAGCAGCGCGGCATCGGCGTCGGCGTCGTCGTCTGCCCCTCCGCCGCCGCCCCCGCCGCCCCCGCCACCTGCTGAGCGTGGACGAGGCCGCGGACGCGGCCGAAGAGGCAGGCGCGCCTATCGCGCCCCTCCCTGATTTCGAGGCTTTCCTTTGCCTCCTTCTTTTCGATCCTGTGGGTGTTCGTGACTCGGACTCCCTTCAGTGGTGCGTTCCTCCTCCTCCTCCTCCTCCTCCTCCTCCTCCTCCTCCTCCTCCCCCTCCGCCCCCCCCATCCGCTGCTTCTCCTCTTCCTCACTTTCCCCCTCTGCCTCTCAACTTCCGCCCCCTCCCTTCTCGTCCTCCTTTTTCGGCCCCGTCCGCCTTCCCCCCCCTGTCCGCGTCCTCCTCCACATCCTCGTCGTCGTACTCCTCCCCCTCGTCCTCCTCGTCCTCTCTCCCTGTCCTCGTCGTCGTCCTCCGTCCTCGCGTCGTCGTCCTCGTCGTCACGGTCATCGCCGTTCTCGCCCCCCCTCCCCGCTGCCGCCTCGGTGGTGGCCATGGAGACCGGCGACAGGGGCAAGGGCGACGTCGGCGCCGACGGCGGCAGGGGCCACCTGGCCGCCGTCGTCGTCAGTGGTGACGTCGCCGCGGCGAGGGCGACGTCATCGACATTGACCGTCGGAAATCTTCGGCAATCGTTGTCTTCGTCGTCGCCGCCGCCCGCGGCGTCGTTGCGTCGTCATCGGTAAGGTCGTCGTTGTCGGTAAGGTTGTCGTCTTCGTCTTCGTCGTCGCCGCCGCCGCCGCCGCCGCCGCCGCCGTCGTCGTCGTCGTCGTCGTCGTCGTCGTCGTCGTCGTCGTCGTTGTCGTTGTCGTCGTCGTGGCGAGCGCGACGGCATTCGACGACCGCCTGGCGGGCGGCGGCGGGCCAAGGTGAGGAGGAAGAGGCGGACAAGTAGGGGGGCAACAGACAGGTCAGGCACGAGGGGGTGGAGGGGGACGGGGAGGAGGAGGAGTGGGAGGAGGGAGGAGGCCAGCCGTGGCGACGAGGGGTGGGGACGGGAAGTCGCTAGTGACACTGGGCTCCAGCTTTGCCTCGGCCTCTAGTCTCTGTATTGCCCTGATCGCAGTGTTGCAGCTGATGGTGTCGGGCTTCAACTTCAACGCTCTTTTCTCGCGCGCCCTGTTCGCTTTGCTGTAGCTGGCCATGAGGGATTCGCTCTTCGCCTCCCATTTCTCACACGGGCTCGCTGCACTGTAGCTGGTCACGGTGGGTTCTATATTCGCCTTCGCCTCCAGCTTCATGAATCCCGCGGGGTCAATCACGGTACTGTAGCTGGCAACGTTTGGCTCCACATACGCCTCCGCGGCCGCGCCACACTCCGTTTTCTCGGATCCAGCCGTGGCGACGAGGGGTGACGATGGGAATACGCTGGTGAAGTTGGGCTCCAGTTTTGCTTCCGCCACTGTTGCCCTGATTTCACTGGAGGAGGAGGAGGAGGAGGAGGGGGAGGGAAGGAGGAGGAACAGGGGGAGGAAGAAGAGGAGAAGGAGGAAGAGGAGGAGGAAGAGGAGGAGGAGGAAGAGGAGGAGGAGGAGGAGGAGGAGGAGGAGGAGGAAGAGGAGGGCGAGGAGGAGGAGGAGGAGGAGGAAGACGACGACGACGACGATGGGGGCCGACAGGGCTTCACTCGCGGCATTCACGTTGCCAGGGTCCCAGCGTGGATAGCAAGGACCCTGGGCTGTCGCAAGCGACATGGGGCACAGATGCGAGCACCTAGGGCCCGCTGGCAACTTGCGTGAAACACATGTTGTGTGGTTCTCACTCGTATACGGGGATATTTCCCAAGTGGTGCTTGTACTCAAGGGTCCGTATTGATGTTCTGAGGTTGCCCGAATCGAAATTCGGACCCACCCCCCAGGTTTTAGATACCCCCTGGGATCATGCAATCTACATGTGATTCTGTCCCACCGTTCATTTTATATATGATGTTGTACCACCTCAGCCAAAAACGGGCGGCGCCGCCATGCGAACTTTGCCGCTGGGGCTTTCAGTGGGACTCCCGATGGGGCCACGGACCTTGTGATGGGGTGCGCCAAAGTGGGGCGGCGCCGCCATGCGAACTTTGCCGCTGGGGCTTTCACTGGAACTCCCGACGGGGCCACGAACCTTCTGAGCAGTGCGCCAAAGTGGGGCGGCGCCGCCATGCGAACTTTGCCACTGGGGCCTTCGCTGAAGCTCCTTATGGGGCCACGAAGTGTGTGAGGGTGCGCCACAATTGTGCGGCGCCGCCATGCGAACTTTGCCGCTGGGAGGCGCGCCGTGCGAAGGTTGCCGCTGGGGCCCTCGGTGGGGCCCCCCATGGGCCGTTGAGCCATGTGAGAGACGCGCCTATGAAGTGCGGCGCCATGCGTTTTTTTGTGTTGCGGTTGTTGCTGTTGTTGAACTATCACTACGGAAAAATAACTATTGTTGATCCCCCCTCCGGTTCACATTGTGTTTTTCGATTGAGGAACCCCTCCCGGCGCTCGCACCTTGGTTTCGTATCAAAGAAAGTCTTCCTCCTCAAACTACGTTGTTGGCTTCCGGGTTACGAAACAACGGCTCCCGCCTGAGACTTCCTTACAATTTAGCCAGGACCCCCGCTCCCGCCCGAGACTTCGCATTTTATTCAGGAATCGCGCTCTCGCTTGGAACTTCCTTACAATTGATTGCTTGCAAAAGATTCAAGAATAGCACCTTTGCGTGGGAATTTCCCGCGATTTGCACAAGCGCCGCGCTCCCGACACTCAGGCACCCAGGAGTCGCGCTCACGCTTCGGACTCCCTCACATATTATTTAGGAGTCGGGATCATGCTGCCCTTCGTGGCCCGTTGCAGCCCTTCGTGGCTCCCTCGCTGCCATTCGTGGCCCCGTTGCAGCCCGTCGTGGCCCCCTCGCTGCCCTTCGTGGCCCCATTGCAGCCCTTCGTGGCCCCCTCGCTGCCCTTCGTGGCCCCGTTGCAGCCCTTCGTGACCCCCTCGTTGCCCTTCGTGGCCCCGTTGCAACCCTTCGTAGCCCCCTCGTTGCCTTTGGTGGCCCCGTTGCAGCCCTTCGTGGCCCCCTCGTTGCCTTTGGTGGCCCCGTTGCAACCCTTCGTGGCCCCCTCGCTGCCCTACGTGGCCCCATTGCAGCCCTTCGTGGCCCCCTCGCTGCCCTTCGTGGCCCCGTTGCAGCCCTCGTGACCCCCTCGCTGCCCTTCGTGGCCCCATTGCAGCCCTTCGTGGCCATCTCGCCGCTGCCCTTCGTGACCCCATATATGTATGCTCTTCGTGGCCTCCGCTCGTTCGCGCCCGTCGTGGCCCCCTATGCTTGCCCTTCGTGGCTCCGCCGTCGCCTTTCGTGGCCCCCATCGCTGCCCTTTGTGGCCTCGTTGCTGCCCTCAGTGACCCCGTCCTTGCCCTCCGCGGCCCAATATACGTATGCCCTTCGTGGCCCCCGCTCGTTCGCGCTCTTCGTTGCCCCATGTGCATGCCCTTCGTGGCCCCGCTGTCGCCCTTCGTGGCCCCTCGCAATCCTACATGGCCCTGTTGCTACCCTCAGTGGCCCCGTCGTTGCCTTCTGTGGCCCCGCATTATCTGCCCTTCGTGGCCCACGCTCGTTCGCGCTCTTCGTGGCCCCATACGCATTCCCTTCGTGTCCCCGCTGTCGCCCTTCGTGGCCTACTTCGTGCCCTTCGTGGTCCTGCTGTCGTTCTCTCTCTCGCTCTCGCTTTCGCTCGTCGTCGTCGTGGTCGGTCCCTTGTCCGTCCCTCTTGGGTCGGGTTGCCGCCGATCAGCGCTGCCGCTGGCCAGGCCGACGGTCCGCGGCCGCTCCGCCGCTTGCCGGGGCCCGGCCTGCAGGGAAGAAAGGTGTACCCCCCAAAGGGGTACGATCGAAGACGAAGAGGGCGGGTATCGAGGGTTTGGGAAATACGCGTTAACGGACACTCGAGCAGGTAAGAGCGAACAGTGTTAAAATGATTGTTGTTGTTATTATTATTATTGTTGTTATTTTCATTCGTATTATTATTATTATTATTATTATTATTATTATTATTGTTATTGTTATTGTTATTATTGTTGTTGTTGTGGTTGTTGTTGTTGTTGTTGCTGCTGTTGTTGTTGTTGTTGAACATTATTAATTCTAAAGAATAATTATTGTTGGGACCCCTGGTGCACGGCCCCCCTGCGCCGCCTAGGCCGCAGCTACATTTTCATCATTTTCGTGAGGAAGCCTCAGGTAATTCGATGTGATCAAGATCCGGTTGTTTTGTTCCCCCCCGCTTTCCCTTGCAAAAAACACTATAAAATGACATTTCTTGTTCTAATATAATCAAATTTCAAGAATCCCTTGCAAAAAATAAGGTAAAGTGGACATTCGCGCGCGCAAGACGAAATCCTTCCAAAAACCTTAGTGTTCGCAGCGATTTTAACATAAAAACATCAAAAAACCAATGGTTTTTCAACAAAACAATTGTCAAAATCTCATCCCGCGCGCTCTTGCGGATTCGTAGGAAACCCAACACTTTTTAAACATTTCTGTCAAACGGGCTTTTGCGAGCAACTTTTTCGAACTTCTGCGACAACGGTTGCGCACCTGCCAGGGCCATCATCCCTGTCAAATAATACCATGCGGGACACATTCGTTTTTTCTTCGCGCGCGCACGCCGAAATCTCCAAAAACCATTACGGTGGGTGGGCGTGCAAGCGCCGTTCCCGCCCCTCCTTCCGTTCTCTCTTCTCTCCTTTCCTCCTTGTCCTGCTCCTCCTCCTCCTCCTCCTCCGGCGGGGGGCGTGAGGATCCGGCATCGCTCACAACCATCGGGACAACCATCGGGACAACCATCGGAACAACCATCGGGACAACCATCGGGACAATCATCGGGACAGTCATCGGGACAACGATCGGGACAAGCACAACCATCAGGACAACCATCGGGACAATCATCGGGACAACGATCGGGACAACCACAACCATCAGGACAACCATCGGGACAACCATCGAGACAACCATCGGGACAACCATATCCTCTCTCTCTTGTGTATTCCCACATCCCTCAGGAATTTGCCCTAAAGATGTGATCAACTATCTTGTGAGTACGTATCATGTGTATCATGTGTATCATGTACCATATGCATCATATGCAACAGATGTTCTGTGGAAGGCTTAACAACTTCTGTGGGTTAACAAGGCTTAACAACTTCTGTGGGTGTACGAACGTAGGCTTAACAACTTCTGTGGGTGTGTACTCCACGCCAGTGTAGTAGCCACGGTCGTCCGCAGGCCACGAAGTGAAGTGTCCGAACGTCATAGGGCGGGAAGCTGGGTGTGGGTGGTGGCGAAGAGTCGTGTGGATATTTGGTAGAGCTTGCACTGCCCCCCCACAAAGTGGGGGTATTGGCTGGCGTCGCATGAAAACCCTGGCACTGGTGAGAACACTGAGCGTTCGGGTAAAGTGATTGTTGTTGTTGTTGTTGTTGTTGAATGTTACTTACAAAACAGTGATTATTGAAGGACCCCTTACAAGCGCCCTGGCGCTCTCGCCGAGGCGCCGGCCGCATTTTCATTGAAAATGAGGCTCGCTCTCAAGCGGTTTGGGGGGCCGCGAAAACCGGCCCCCCAACAACAACAACGCCCCCGTTCGAGACTTCCTCCTTTTTTACTCGGGGCCGGTGCTTTTGCTCGCCGCCGAAAGCAGCCGTCTCAACAAAACCACCGCTCCCGCTCGAGACTTCCTCCCGTGTTACCTTGGACAGGCGCGCGACTCTTCCTCTCATCGGCGCCACCCCCCAGCAACAACGACGCCCCCGCTCGAGACCTCCTCCCCTTTTTACTCATGGCGGTGCTCTTGCTCGCCGCCGACAGCCCCCGCCCCGAGAAAGCCAGCGCTCCCGCTCGAGACTTCCTCCCGTTTTACGCTGGACCGGCGCCCTCTTCTCCTCCTCCTCCTCCTCCTCCTCTTCCTCCCTCTTCCTTCCTCCGCCCCCTCCCCTTCTCCCTCCTCCCCCGTCCCTCCTCCGTCCCTCTTTCCTCCCTCCTCTTTCCTCCCCCCTTCTCCTCTCCTCTTTTTTTGGTTTTCTCCCTCCTCGTCCCCCCTCCTCCTCCACCCGCTCCCCCTCCTCCTCCTCCTCCTCCTCCTCCTCCTCCTCCTCCTTTTCGTGCTCCCCCTCCTCATCATCATCCTCGTCCTCCTTCTCCTCCTCCTCCTCCTCCTCCTCCTCCCCCTCCCTCCTCCTTTTCCCCCTCTCTCGTCCTCCCTTTTCCTCCTCCCTCCACCCCTCCTTTCTTCCTCCCCCCTCCCCCCTATCCCGTCCCTCTTCCCCCCCTCTTTCCTCCCTCCTCCCTTCCCCTTTCGCCCCCCTTGTCTCCTCCCTCTTCCCTTCCCCTTCCGTCCTCCCTCGTCGCTCCTGTTTGATGCTTCCTCACCTTTTTCTCAGGACTGGGGCCCTTGTTTCAGCGTCGCCTCTGGGGGGCTCCCAAGAATCCCTTTTGAACCCAAACTATGAACAAAAAACAGCTATCATTTTTGGAGAGCATCGATGCTGTGGAGGGGGGGGAAGAAGAGGGGCGGATGACTTCCAGGGGCTCCAAAGATCGAGGGTCGAAGGGTTGACGCCAGGGATTCCTCGAGAGGGCGTCGAGGGGCAGGTGGAGGATGCGAGCATGGGAGCGGCAGCGCCTGGGGGCGTGAACGTTCAGGGTCACGCGCCGAGGCCGCAGGATGGTGGCGTAACGGTTCGAACGGGGAGTAAGAACCACCTCGTCCTCGGATGTGCTGCCGCTACAACTACTCCTCCTTCCCCCCCCTCCTCCTCCTCCTCTTCCTCCTCCTCCTCCTCCTCCTCCTCTCCCTCTTCCTCTCCCCTATCTTCCCTCCCCTCCTCGTCCTCTTTCTCCTCCTCCGAGATGCGGGGCGTGCGCGAGGCGATTGCGATGGCGATGTGCCGTCGGAGCTGTGGATGTCGAAGTTCTTCGGAAGAGGTGGCGGCGCTACTTTCTTGGGCGGGAGATCTGGGCGAGGGAATCTCGGTCCCCGCATGTCCGAACATCCCCTCATAATGGGGTGTGGTATCCAGAAGGATGGATGTGACATGTGGAAGCATGGCGCATGAGGGTATTATTATTATTATTATTATTATTATTATTATTCGTATTATTATTATTATTGTTGTTGTTGTTGTTGTTGTTGTTGTTTCTTCATGGCGCAACATGGCGCGCAGCGCGCCCTGTTCTGCTCCCGCGAACTGCGGCGGGCACGGAGCCTGCTTGACCCGGTGCTGGGGGCTGGCAAACGGCCGCGCTTCGACAGGCTGCCTAATGCAGGCTCGCCAAGCGCCTGAGCGCGAGAGGCTCAGAGAAAGACGTGCCTCGCGCATAGGCGTTCGCTCAGGACAGCGGCCTTCCGCTCTTGGGGTCCGCTCTCCTCGTCATCATGTTGGCCTTCCGCCACCTGCTCCTTTCAGTCTCCTTGGACTTGGCCCTCTCGAAAGCCGTCCAGAGGCCGCGGTGCTTGCCCTCGATCTCCTTTGCGTGCAGCTCGCGCCTCAAGCACGCCGTGTTGCCGCAGAAAATGCGCAGCTGGTGGCCCATCTCGCCCTCGGCGTCCAGCGAGCCAAACCCGCTGGGGATCTCGGACGTCCCCGTGCCTCAAGCTGCTTGGCGCGCCGGGCCCGCTCCTGGCACATCCGTGTCTTGCGCTGGCGGAACCTCTCGGCGCGAGTTCCAGGGCTGGCCGCGCGACACCAGCGCCGGCAGGCAGGACGTGTACATCAGCAGCGTGGCCCCCGTCGCCCTCGCAGGGGCCCGCGGGCATCGCGCCCGCGCCAGCGTCGCCCTCGCACTTGCCGTGCCTCTCTGTCTGCAGCTCGTCTTCGGACGCTTTCGCAGCAGCAAGCGCCACCGACGAGGTCACAGCGCGCCGAAGAGCCGTTGCTGCTGGCCTCTTCGTAGCTCCGCTGGCGACCGCATCGGGGGCGAAGGCTTCTGCCGCGCACGGCTTGGCGAAGAGCTTGGCGCTCTCCGTGTTGGGGCGCGTTCGAAAGACGTTCGAAAACACCCCAGGCAGTGGATCGCCAGAGCGTCTCCGACGCCGCCCGTCACCTTGACCATCTCGTGCTTGGCGAGGGCTAGCCTCGGTGCTGCGTTCGAACGTTACTGCTTGCAGCCATCGTTGAAATTGATTCTGAGGTTTGCCGCTTCACAGCAAGCCTTTGCGCTCCAGTAGACCACCCCGTCCAAGGTAAACGCCCTTCTCTGCCTGGATCGCCTGTCGTGCTCTGGCGCGCGAAACTCCAGCGCCGCGAACTTCGCGCACTTGTCGGCCTCGTGGTCGCCACTCCTCCACCGCGGAGTGATCTTGCCGCCCTCCACGTCCTTGAGCGTGCCGTGGCCCTTGACCTTCAGCACTGTGAGGCCCTGGTCACCAAGCTCGCCGAACTCGTTCAGCGCATGCCATATCCTCCCCCAAACCTGTGCCCACGCGGCTATGTGGGAGGTTGTCACCGCACGGCCTCACTTTAGGTCGGGCATGTCCCCCTACAGGCGAATTTTGGGCGACAAATTGAACATACCCCAAGAATGCTCAACACATTTTCAAAAATGGTGCAAAATCGTACCCAGACTATTTTTGGACTATTTTGGAATATAGCTTCCTGTAGAATGACACTCCCGACTGAAGGCTACGTGGTAGGTCGTCGCCGCACGGCCTCACTCCGGCAACCCCTTCACCGCGTGGTCCGCGCCGAAGTGCACCGTGATCGGCGCCGCCGAGTGCTTCGCGCTCGGCAACAGCGCGAGCAGCTCGGCGCCGTTGCTCGTCTGGAGCGGGCCATGCGCGCGGGCCCCGAGTGCCTTCACGCACGACCGAGGCCCTGGGTCGGGGGCGCTGCGGCGACGCGGGCGCAGAGCGGAGCGCGGAGCAGAGGAGGAATCGCAGCGGCGGGAGGAGGAGGAGGAGGAGGAGGAGGAGGAGGAGGAGGAGGAGGAGGAGGAGGAGGAGGAGGAGGAGGAGGAGGAGGTAGCTCCGCCGCCGCGCGCCTGGACATCGCCAGCGTCGTGCCGGCCTCGTGGCAGCGCCCGTGAGCGAAGAGCTCTGTATTCATGAAGGGCATCCCGTCTCCTCTCAGCCACTGCAGCCCGCCGAGGACGTTGTCCTGGAGCGGATTTTAGCTGTGCCCAGGCTCGGCTTTCCGACCGACGTGCGGATCGTGACGCTGGTCTGGACCAGCCTGAGTTTGGAGATCTTGTCGGGTAGGTCGAAGCTCGGCCAACTCTCGCTGCACTCCATGTGGCGGTGCCGGAGCGTGCCGGTCTCGTGCTGATGGAGCTGGCAGAACGGGGTGGGCGCCAGCCGCGGGGCCGCGTCGTACGCTGGACTTCGGGGTGTTGGCTCTCTCGAGAGCTTGGGGTCCCGAGCCGCCGTGCTGAGGGCGTTGGGTCTGCAGGAGGATGGGCTCCAAGACGTTTCCGCCCTGGGTGCGAACCTCCTCGAGCGTAGTGCGGAAGCGGAGGATTTTCTGGAGGCCTCCGACTTCGAGGCCTCCGATTCGGGGCCTGACTAGGCTCCCTGGACTGGCTCCTCGGAAATCCCCTGAAGTCTCCAGAGGTCCCCGGAGGTCGCTGGAGGCCTCCATAAGCTCCTGGGAACTCTGAAAATGGCCAACGACGTCAAATAAGACTACGCACATCTCGCGTTCCTCCTCCTTCTCCTCCTCCTTCGTCCCTGCCTCTTCTCCCACTCTCCCACTGCCCCTCTCCACCCGAGCCTGTGTGAGGTCGTCAGCACGTTGGAGACCTCGTCGGGAGAGCTCGCAGCCAGCGCCGCGACGGCGTCGCTGACGAGCAGCGCCTGCATCTCCGAGAGCAGCGGGAAAGAGACAGAAAGAGAGAGAGAGGGGCGGAGGGAAGGGGAGGGGAGCGAAACTGACTATCAGGGGAAGGGCGGACAAAGGGGAGAAATAAGATCCAGGAGGAACTGGGCGATTATCCCAGTGCGACCCTACCTAGGAGTTGGAGCCTCTAGGAAAGCAACATTAGTAGGAGCGGTAAACGCCGTCCTCCTCCTTCTCCTCGTCGTCGTAGTTTTAGCAGTAGCGGTAGTAGTAGTAGTAGTAGTAGTAGTAGTAGTAGTAGTAGTAGTAGTAGTAGTAGTAGTAGTAGTAGAAATAGAAGTAGAAGTAGAAGTAGAAGTATAAGTAGAAGTATAAGTAGTAGTAGTAGTAGTAGTAGTAGTAGTAGTAGTAGTAGTAGTAGTAGTAGTAGTAGTAGTCGTAGAAGTAGTAGTCGTAGAAGTAGAAGTAGAAGTAGAAGTAGAAGTAGAAGTAGAAGTAGTAGTAGTAGTAGTAGTAGTAGTAGTAGTAGTAGTAGTAGTAGTAGTAGTAGTCGTAGTCGTAGTAGTAGTAGTAGTAGTAGTAGTAGTAGTAGTAGTAGTAGTAGTAGTAGTAGTAGTAGTAGTAGTAGTAATAGTAATACTAGCGCCAGAACCGCCGACGCCACGCCGTAAGTGAAGCAGCAGCAGAAGCAGGCAGCAAGTCGCCGAGACAGCAGCAAAAGCAAGCAGGCACGGAGATGAGGGCGGGGCACTGGGGAGTTCTTTACATCTACATCTATATATACACTTACATCTACATCGACACCTACATCTACATCGGGTTTCATGTCTCCCGGCCGGTGCTATGTGCGAAACCTTCGTGAATCCTAAGGGCTCAAGCTGCCCCACTAAGGGCTCAAGATGGCCCACAGACGGACAACATGCATGGAACATACGTGCGCACACACACATACGTACATATATATATATATATATATATATATAGCAGCAGCAATCGTGGATGCTGTGCTGCGCTATGCTATGCTATGCTATGCTCTGCTCTGCTATGCTATGCTATGCTATGCTGCGCAATGCTATGCTGGGCTAGGCTAGGCTATGCTATGCTATGCTGCGCTATGCTATGCTGCGCTATGCTATGCTATGCTATGCTATGCTATGTTTTTGCTTTGCCTTCGCTTTTGCCTTCACTTTTGCCTTTGCTTTTGCTTTTGCTTGGCACCCAGGGAGCGCAACTGGGGGAACCGCGCGTTGGCTTTTACCTTTGCTGTTGCTTTTGCTTGGCTCCCAGGGGACTGGGGGAACCGCCCGGGGCGGCTTGCACTGCCGGGCCCCTTTAAGCCAAGCGAGTAAGAACCCTTCTAGGCAGAGCCTAGGTAGGGAATAAACAACAACACCAACACCACCAACAACAACAGCAACAACACCACCAACAACAGCAACAACAACAACTACAACAACACCAACAACAACAACAGCAACACACCAACAATACTAACACCACCAACAACGTCAACAGCAACACCACCAACAACAACAACACTACCACTATCAATAACAACAATAACAATGCCAGCACCAGCAACAACACCACCACCAACAACAACGGCAGCAACAACAGCAACAACAATATCACCACCACCACCAACAACAGCAACAGCAACACCAACAACAATAGCAATAACAACAGTGGAGAAGAGGCAATCCGCTGCCCTTCAACATGGATATCCCGACACCAGACAGAACACCGTAGAGGGATTGGGAGGGGCGGGAGAGGCCGAGGTCGACGACCCGTCGTCGTGAAGGGGAGGGAGGGGAGGGATTGGGAGGGGAGGGATTGGGATTGGGAGGGGATTGGGAGGGGAGGGGAGGGAGGGGAGATTGGGAGGGATTGGGAGGGGAGGGATCCCCTCTCGTCGTGAACGGATCACGACGGGAAGCTCCCCGCAATGTTCGGCCTCTGGGGGGGCCCGTACCGCGCCCCGGGGCCGTCAAGAAACGGCTCGAGGTGTCAATCTGTACAGCGAGCCCCAGGGAAGGGGTCGAGACATCCGGGGGTCCACCCTGCAAAACAGGTGCGGCATCGGGGCGACGTCGTCGTTGTGTAGGTTCTCGGGCGTGCCTGCTGGTCACACTGGCCGGACGCACCTCGAGACACTCGGGGAGGGGGGCGGCCTTCTGAAGCGGCAGGGGGGCTTCTTCGAGGGGCTCAGGGGCTTCTTGGAGAGCTTCTATGCGGAGTGCCCTGCCTGCTGAGACGGCCGCCCCCCCTCGCCCTCGCGCCGAGCCGAGGGCGGGGACCGGAACGGGAGCGGGGGGGTGGGGGAGGCGAAAGGCGAGGGGGGTGGAAGGGCGAGGGGGAGGGTGGGCTCGGGCTGGGAGTGGGGGGAGCAGCAGCGGGCGAGAGGATCAAACGTGCATACATGCATACATAAGTACACACAAACATGAATAATTATACGCACACACACGCACACACACACATCTGTATGCATGTATGTATGTATGCATGCATGTCTGTCTGCCTGTCTGTCTGTCTGTCTGTCTGTCTGTATGTATGTATGTATGTATGTTTATATATATATATATATGTATATATATGTATGTATGCATGCATGCATGCATGTGTGTATGCATGTATGTGTGTATGCACGTATGTATGTATGTATGTATGTATGTATGTATGTATGTATGTATGTATGTATGTATGTTTGTATGTCTATATGTATGTTGTATGCTTGTATACTTGTATGTAGGTATGTCTGTCGGTATGCATGTATGTATGTATGTATGTATGTATGTATGTATGTATGTATGTATGTATGTATGTATATGAATATATAACACATATATATATGCATACGTATGTACGTAGCACCCCACAGATGCGGATCAGAGTGAGGGGGCGGTGGGGACGTCGGCAATCTGCGAGACTCCCGAGAGGCCAGCCGCAAGCGCCAAAGTCCCACAAATTATACAACGGGCCCGCCGCAAGCGCCGATTTTTTCTTAAAATAAATGTGGGTAAGTCGCGGGGTCGCGGGGTGGGCCGCGGGTGGGTCGCAAGAAGGTCGCGGGTGGGTCGCGGGGCAGGTCGCGGGTGCGTCGCTGATGGGTCGCGGGGTAGGTCGCGGGTGGGTCGCGGGGTGGGTCGCGGGTGGGTCGCGGGGTGGGTCGTGGGTTGGTCGCGGGGTGGGCCGCGGGTGGGTCGTAGGGTGGGTCGCGGGGTGGGTCGCGGGGTGGGTCGCGGGTGGGTCGCGGGGTGGGTCGCGGGGTGGGTCGCGGGGTGGGTCGCGGGGTGGGTCGCGGGTGGGTCGCGGGGTGGGTCGCGGGTGGGTCGCGGGTGGATCGCGGGGGGAACGACGACAACAAATGACTCACTGCCTGGAGTTCCCCATATGTGCATCTATTAGCATGGACCTGTCCGCCGTGATTGTCTAGGTGCAAGAGCTTTCGAATAAAAGCGGGCTTGAGTATTGACGGTCTGGGGGTGAATCTAACTGTGAGTGAATTGGAGTGTGAATGAGTCTCAATAATATTAGTGCGTCTCTGCGCATGAGCCTGGGGCCTTCTGGGGCCTCCTGGGGACTCCTGGGGCCTCCTGTGGCCTCTTGGGGCTTCCTGTGGCCTCCTGAAGACTCCTGGGGCCTCGCGTGGCCTCATGGGGCCTCCAGGAGCTTTCTGGATCCTCATGAGGCCTCCTGGGGAGGATTCGTGCCCCAAGGGAGGCCCAATCCAGAGGAACAGACGTAAAGCACTTCGGATTGAAGCCACAGGAGAAGGGCAATCTATATGAACACGCGTACAACACCAAGGACTCGTGCCCCAATGTAGGCCCAATCTATAGGAACCTATGTAAACACTGAGGGGTGGATACGCAGGAGAAGGACACTTTATATAACCATACGTAAGCACAAAAGATTCGCACTCCAAGGGAAGCCCAATCTATAGAAACATATATAATACGCCGGGGATCGGAGCCACTCCTGTGGCCTTCTGAGGCCTCCTGCTCCTGGGGCCTCGTGGGGGCTCCTGGGGCCTTCTGGGGCCTCCTGGTGCCTCCTGGCGTTTCCTGTGGCCTCGTGTGGCCTCGTGTGGCCTCCTGGTGCTTCCTAGGGCCTTCCAACGCCTCTTGGGGCCTCCTGGAGCCTCCTGTGGCCTCCTGGGACCTCCTGTGGCCTCCTGGTGCCTCCTGGGACCTCATGTGGCCTTATGGGGCCTCCTGGAGTCTGCTGGAGCTTCCTGTGGCATCCTGGGGATCCACGCCCACGAGCCTGGCCAGCAAAACAAGCAAACCGTTTGAGACATCCTCGCAATCTGGGCCACCAGGTTGGGATCACCAGCGCCTGGCTCGAGGCATCCTCCAAATCTGCTTCGAAAGCGAAAGATGTTGGGGGTACACACAGGCAAACCGCTCGAGACATCCCAACCATTTTGGCGCGAACGGAGGATTGAGATACCCCCTGGCGGCTCCCCCTTGGGGGCGCCTCGCTCGAGACATCCTCCACATCTGCTCCGAAAGCGGAAGATGTTTGGGGCACAAACGGGCACACCGCTCGAGACATCCCCGCCACTTTGGCGCGAACGGAGGGGTGACATACCCCCTGGCGGCTCCCCCTTGGGGGTGCTGAAACCCGCGCCTCGCGCGAGACATCATCAGAATCTGCACCGCCATCATCATCATCATCATCATCATCATCATCATCATCATCATCATCATCATCATCAGCATCATCAGCATCATCAGCATCATCAGCATCATCAGCATCAGCATCATCATCAACATCATCATCATCACCACCATCATCATCATCCTAATCATTATCATCATCATCATCACCATCACCATCATCATCATCAGTTGTACTGTTGTCATCGTCATCGTCGCCACCACCATCATCATCACCATCATTGTCATCATCACCATCACCATCACCATCACCATCACCATCACCATCAGCATCAGCATCAGCATCAGCATCAGCATCATCATCATCATCATCATCATCATCATCATCATCA